ATTTTTATATATATATATATATATACAAAGGAGTCAAAAATTATTATATCTTTGTATAATATATAATGAGGCTGCAAATAAGCCCCCAAAAATTCAGCCTGAATAACTTTTGCTCTAATGGTCAAAATTTTCAAGTTAATAAGTGCCACTCTTAATAGCTTGATAAGTTGGCCTTGAGCGTAGAAATTAATAAGCTCCAAACATCATTTTTATGTCCCAAAATTAGCCATATTAACGAACTCTTTGTGAATAAACTTACGTTGGACTTAAATTTTAAATCTCAAAATATTGGGGGATAGCCAGAATCAATAGAATATGGTCCCAATAGTTTAGCCAGAAGAGCCGTTAAACTATTAATTTGATTTTTTCCTTATTTTGCCATGTCGCAGAAATTTTTTCTCGTGAAAAGTTTTAATTAAAAATAATTTTTAATGATTAGAGTCAAAAATTATTTGGATTGAAAGGTATAAATAAATAGTACATCATTTTAAATTATATAATTGAAATTGACAAAATACGAAATTTGAATGAGCATAGTTAAATAGGTAGTTTCTAAGTAATTACATTTAAAAAAGGACGCAATTTTAAGTTTTCATTTTTCAAGAACTGTTTCATAAAGCTTGATCACTGGTTCAAGTAATTCGTATTTTCAATTGGAGGGACTACGCTATCTGTCATCCAACATTCGTCAAATTAAGCATAGGGCAGTGGAGTTTTAATGGTCTGAGTAGGTAACAGGGTGGTCTGAGTAGGTAACAGGGCGAATGACAACACTCCCCTCCTTGTTTTTGAAACCATTTTGCCTGGTTTAAGGACTTAGATCCCTATAATAGCATTTTCGTGGACGCAGTAGACTCTGATTATATTGTAATATAGGACAACGCGTGAACACATCTGAAAGATGATTTTCCTAAAGGAGTTGATATTCGTCGCACAGTTTGGCCAGTCAGATCTCCAGACCTGTATAGAGCTGGAACGCAGTGGGACGGGAAATCGGAACGCCGAGAGTATGAAGAGAGTATCGAACTTCCTAACTGTCCTGTTTCCAGCATGAAATCACTGAGTCAGTATGTATGTTAAAAGGGAATATATCTTCGATTTAAACTCTCTTTATATTTTTGTTTGAATTTGTAACCACTGCTTCATTTTTTGTACTCTACTGAGTCTTAGTCATGATCATATGCGTGTGTATTATGACTATTAAATGATTCAATAGTATTACACTAACCTACGATGTTAATACCAATTTTAATTACTATCTCTCCAGCAATTCTAGAGATATCCATCCAAATCTGAAAGCTCTATTAATTTTAAACACCATGTATTCTGATTCAAAAACTTGACGATATTTTATAAACAATCTGCTTAGTGTAAGCATTACATGCATTTGAAATATTAATTTTAAATATGCAGACTCAATGTGCTAAGAAATATATTCATTAAAAACTAGTTGATTTCAGATGGTATTTTGGTTTTAAGATTTTGCGCATTTTGGGAAGATTCCTTTCCACCTATCTTACAAAAGATAACTGTGGGAAATGACAAACCTGAAAAATATATGGCATAGCTATTATAGCTACTATAGACAATGAAAAATATATTGGCATAGCTATTATAATGATAGAAATACTAATTCCCACTTCAGTTTTGTGCGTTTAACCAATTGAACAGAATAAATGGCACGTTTGTTCTGTATATAATTAGCCTTTTTATGTGGGATGATGAAGCCGAAAGAGGGTTTCCGACTAAAGACAATGTAG